CAGCGCCTGCCCGAAACTGCGAGCCGCATCCCAGAGGCGAACGGAGACACCGCACTCTCGACCGACTGCGCCATCCTGGCCTCGCAAAGGCAGCGATCTTCCCTCCCTCGGTGCTGACACACACACACACATCTCTAACTCCACATGTCCCTTGCTCTGGTCCCCTCCCAACCCGCTCTGGCCGAGTGCCCTACGCAGCGTCTCGCAGCCTCGAGGGTCCAACCATCACTTGAAAAACAATGCATCGTACGTTTTGTTGGCCAGCACCTTCGGCGATATCTCCTCGATCATGAGCTGGTGCTTGGATAATTCCTGCTGGGCGGCCAGCGCCGATTTGCGCAAGGCAACTTTGTCAACCTGCTCGGAAAACGATTTCAACATCAGCGCCGCCGCCCAGACCAGAATGCACTTGCACATGGTGAGTGAGCCGTCCTCAAGGACGGTCTCGTCGAAGGAGGCCAGCTGGTACGTCTTGGCCCACGCGCGGATGCCGATCTCTTCCTGCGGAAAGCCCGCGCGAGGGATGACGCAGTGGGAGGGCAGAGCACGGAGGCAGGGAGGGCTTGGAGGCGAGAGGAGTAGGCAGGAGGCGGAAACCAGGGGTGATAGGGGGAGCGAGCGGGAGGACGAGGGGGAGGAGGGGGGGGGGCACCAGTATGCCCCACTCCCCCATCGACCCCCCCCCCCAACCCCCACCACTCTTGCCCCAAGGGAGCAGGCGGTTGGACGCCCGCCGCAGTCCTCCTTGGCGGCGGCGACCTTCTTGCGGAGGCCCACGGCAACGCCCTCCGCCAGCAAGGTGGACTTGCCGACGGCGCGCACCTTGTCCCACTTTTCAGCAGCGGCGCCGACCAGCCCGTGGGTCCACTCGGCGCCGTTCTTGAGGCCGCCCTGCTCTTGCTTCAGCTCCACCACCGTCGTGTTGACGAATTTGTGGATCTTCTCGCGAAGCCCGTGCTCGGCCACCTCGTCGATCAGGGATCGCGTCGTGCCGTAGAATGCCATCGCCCCCTGCTTGATGAACGCCGTGTCCTCGTGGTCGGGGAACTTCTCATCCGAGAGCTTCTCGAACAACACGGTGGCGGACCCATTCATCTTAGATAAGTTCGCGTCCTGATACGCGGAGCCGAGGTCCAAGCTGTCATCCTTGAAGTGCTTCGCCTTGAAGTCGGCCACCTGGGCCGCCAGCTCGCCCTGCTTCCTGAGGGCGTCGAGCACGCCGTCGTGGAGGCTGGACGTCGGCAGGAGGTCCAGGGCAGCTGCAAGCGCGCCCAACGCCGACGAGCGCAGCACCTCGCCGTTCGTAGCCACGTCCACCGCGATCTTGATGCTTCCGTCGGCCACCTTCTTCAAATCATTCATCGCGTCCTGGTCGGCGCAGGCCACGCCCCTGACCTTCTCCATCACGGACTTCGCACCATCCAGGACCTCTTGCGTCAAGCTCTCGGCAGCGGCGGACTCTTTCAATGCAGCCTTGAACTTGACCATCTCCCCTTCCGACTGGAGCTTGACCAGCAGCTCGGCAGCGTCGCCCTCGGCCTCGAGGAAGAACGTCATCTCGTGCCACGCGACCCTCTGGTAAGAGACCATCTCGCCGAAGCACTTGGCCTCCTCCAGCGATGCTCGCCCCTCAGCGACGCGCTTCCCGAAGGCCTGGACAAGCGCCTGCGCCTTGTGCAGCGCCTGTGTCTTCACGCTCTCCCCGAAGGAGCTGCCGAGCGCATCCATCAAGCCAAGCAAATGCTTGGCTACGAGCGCGTTGTCATTGAAAACGGCGCACCACTCCTCCGTCGGGCTGGAATGACCTGGCAAGTCGGTCGTCAACGCATTGTGCACCTGGTCGACTTGAGGGCCCATGGAGTTCAGACCTTGCGACGTTTTCGACAAGTCGGTGAGCATGTCCATGTAGTACGGCACCGAGAGGACCGTTCGGGCGACCGACTGCGCGATCGGGTCCTTGGACTTCGCGTCGGACAGCAGCGCGACGTGGTGCTTGACCGTCAGGTTGAACTCCTCTAGGGACAGCGCGACGCCGTCACCAATGAGCACGTTCAGCGCGCCGAAGACCTCTGTGAGCGAGCAGAAGAGCCGCGCGTACACCTCGGGCATGTCGGAAGCTACGATCTCAGCAATCTTGGCACGAACTTGGGCAATGGCAGCGGTGACGATCGAGTGCGAGCCTTTGCCAGCCTCAATGGCGGGGCAGAGCCACGAGTCCACGAAGCAGGTGTTGAAGGCGGTGATCTTGATCTCTGGGTCCATCTCCAGCGCGCTCAATACTGGCGAACAGCTGTCGAATGGAGCGGCGTGGCCAGGGTCGTGCGGCAAGGTGCATTCGAAGAACGCCTTGAACGTATCGGCGTCCCGCACGGTGCTCATCATCCGCCTCGCTGCCCTCATGCACAGTTTGAGGTTCACGGCGTCGGGCAGCGCCCCGTCGATCTGGATCAAATACCGAACAGCTTTCGCCAACTCGTCATCCCCGTAGTTGTCCTGGTGGGCCACAGATGCAATGTGGGCCATCTCGAACTTTTTGACCTGAGCCTTCAGCTCCTGGACGCCAGCGGACCACTTCGGGCTAGTGCCGTTCTCGCGCAACCACCTGGAGGCATGGTGGAGGAAGTTGCCCAAGTTCCCCTTCACCATCTCCGTCTCGCAATCCAAATTCTTGATGTGCTTGCATGGGCCAGACCTCCCACTCGAGTCCCCGCCCGCCGTGCTGACAACGCCAAGCGCAGTAGAAGCCGCCAGAGACGCTGCATCGTCCAAGGTGTCGTCATCGGGGCCGCCAGGCGAGGCCTCATTGTCACCTGACCCTGGGCTCTTCAAAGAGAAGCGCCTCTTTTTTGCCACGGGGGCAGCTGCCTCAGATCTCCCGCCGAAGAGCGACGACGGCACCTGAATCACAGGGGCGCCAGCGCCGTCGACGACGCTCTCCCCCCCCGCCTCCGCCGCCAACCCATCGCTCTCGGCAGCAGCGGCCCCGCACGCCGCTGGCGACCCGTCCCCTGTCTCTGCCATGCGAGAGCCGTTGACAGGCCTGAACTCGGCGGTGTGGAGCTTGATCGGGGCCAGGTTGAGCTTCCCCCATCGTGGCGTTGATGCGCGGCAAGTCCTTCGCAACCAGCTCCGAATCGAATTCTGTTTTCTGGTTGCTGAGCCCCGAGTTGAAGAAATCGAGGACCTGGCCATCGTAGAACACGTCGTCTGGGCGCACGGGGTGCGCCCCAGCGGTGACCTTGTGGAACGTGGCAAAGCTCATGGTGCGACGCGCCCCAGGGAAGAGCTCGAACAGCCATACTTTTTCGGTCTCCCCCGCTGCGCCGCCCCGAACTGGAAGCAGCATCGTGGGGTGGTGGCGCACCAGGCGCTGCAAGGGCTCGTGGCCGTCATGGTAGTACTTGAAGTCAGCCTTGTTGAGGACGGCAACCTTGCGCTTCACCTTGACGACGCTGCCGCAGTCCACCGAGACGCTGTCGCCGCGCGCCGTGAGGCCGACCGTGTCAAGCGCGGTGCGGTTGGCGCGGTTCGCCCAAGAAGTTTCCGCTTGCTGCACCTGCTGCCTGAAGTGGCTGTCCTCGGGCGATTTGCTGTTCTTGCGCTCGATGACCCCGTCGACCGGCATGTGCGAGAAGACGCGGATGTACAGCTCGGCAATGCTGCGCTTGATGGGCACGCCATGGCCCTCGCTGGCCCCGATCACGACTTGCGGGTCGTCCTCGGGAGCGGCAGGGGCGGAGCAAGAGCCCCCCTTCCCCCCTGATCATAACCCCACCCCCGCGGGTCGGCCGACGGTCGAACCCCTTGCCAGCGGGCCCCCTTCGACAGCTACAGGCGGCAACGTCGTGCGCCCCGAACACTTCCAGAACATACGGCAGCACGCAAAACACAAACCTCCCAGTAGATACAACACCACAACGCACACCACAACTTCCAGGACATACACAAACAACGCCGTTGTCTGTCCATCGGGCGTCGCCCGCCCATCCCCCTGGAGCTCCTCTGAAGGCCTTGCCGAAACACGCCAGCCGAGAACACTGCTTGGGGGTGCCCTCTGAACCCCGAGCCCCGCGGCCTCGCGCGGGGCAGGGGGGCGCCCGTCTGCTCTGGGGGGCAGGGGGCGGTCTGACGATACGCGGGATGACGACGGGCGATGGGGGAGTTGAGGAGGAAAGAGAGGAGGGGGCGTTGAGGAGGAGGGCGGGGAGAGTAGAGGAGGAGGGGGAGGGGGGATGGGCATTGTAAACTAGCTTACCCGCCCAAGCGCGTGGACGAGTCTGTAGAGGCAACATTCAGGAAACCCAGCGGTGCGTGATTTGGGCTCCAGTTGGAAAGGACCAGACGATGCTTCAACGTACGGTTGGTTGAGCGGGATGTTTGCTTCGCTTCGGCATTGGATGTATCTGTATCCTCCTCCGCCCCTCCGTGCCCCCCCCCCCGTAACCCCCCCGCCCAACCCTCGCCCCCCGCGTCGGGCAGGGGGCGGACGTGGGCAGCGGTGGTGCGAGAACGCTGTCGTTTTTTCCAAAGCTTAGGCCCCGTTGCGAGAGCAGTCGGGGGCCAAGGTATTGCTATAAGCATACCCTGAAAAGAAAGCTGCGCGCGAGCTGTACGAACGCCCCACAGCGGACCGCACTTGCGGACAACGTGCGCAGCGGGCCTGGCGCCGACGGCAGCCCGTCCCGCTCGGACAGGGAACGGCGATTGGGAGCGGGAGGGATGTTGGCGCTGGTAGTGGGCGGGTAACATGGGAATGAGGAGCGGACGAAGGGAGGTCGATGTAGCTTGAGGGGGCGAGCAGGCGCGCCAACGAAGGCTCATCCTCATGTGAGCTGTCACGCGGAGTACCCGCGATGATATCAGTCAGAGTCGGAGTCAGCGCTGTCAGAGCACATTACATCAGAGTCAGAGGGCTCGTGCTCCAACAGCGACGCGTCAAGCTGCATCATGCGGCCTGTGCGCGGCCAGTACGAGGTGTCCAACTTCCACTGCTCCAGGGCCTCGTGCTCCACGGTGTTGTCGGCCCTGAGCGGGAGCACGACGTCTGGCGCGCCCTCCGAAGTCTCGGTGTCGGCGCGAGCGGCGCCGGGCAGCTCGATGGCGTAGGTGCTGATGTTGCTCGGTGCGATGTCGTGCAACGGGATGGCGCGGTTGAACGTCGGCTCCACAAGGGTGTAGTGGCCTTCGGAGAGCGAAAACACCTCGGTCTTGCCGAGCGGGAGGCAGGGGCCCACGGGGTAGTAGACGGTCTCGCGGTCGAACTCGGAGTCGGCGGGTTCCGACATGGCACCGCCTCCAGCTGCGTCGGCGATCGAAGTGGCGGCCCCCTCCGTCTCCCCCGACGCTGTGTTGTTCAGGAGCTTCTTCTCGACCTCGTTCAAACGATCCCTCAGGTAGCTGTTCTCGTGACTTGTCTCGTCCAGGCGCTTCTCGACCACCTCCAAGCGGTTGCGGGCCTGTCACTCAGTGGTGCGTGGGGGGAAAACTTGGGAAGGCGAGGCAGGCTGGGTTGGGTTGAGGGGGGGGGGGCGAGGGCGGGGGAGAGAATGTGACATGAGGCGAACGAGCAGGGAAGACAGGCGGCGAGGAGCGGGAGAAGCGGAGGGCTGAAGAGCAGCGGTGGGCAGACGGGCGCAAGGGTGTGGAGGGGGGGGAGGTGGCGGGGTGGAGGGCGGAGGGGAGGGCTTACACGGTTGAGGGCAAGCGTGGGCGGAGTACGGGCGGCGTGGGCATTGGAAGGAAGGAAGGAAGGTGGCCTCGACCAACAGCTGCCATATCCTCTGCTTCTTCGGCACATACCCGTCGTCCGACGGCGTCTCTGGGCGGGGGCGACGGATGCCCTCGTGGCACTCTGGCTCTAGGCTCATTGGAGTGGCGGTAGCGTCGGCTGCGTTGTCGGTGGCTCGGTTGCGCCACGGTGGCGACATCGGTGATGGCCGTCGAGAGGAGGCGTGGGCCTGGTCGGCGGACTGACCGCTAGGTCGAGCCAAAACGGCTGCGGGCGGGGAGGGGGGGGGGGGTGGGCGGGCGGCCAGCGGCCCCCAGGGGGGCGGCGAGCGGGCAGGGAAAGCCCTTCGCCGTCTCTGACCAATGTGGCGCAACGACCCTCTTCGGGGCAGAGCCCTCGCGGTGCAAACGGCACGGGCGAGTTGGAACCGCATTGCCTCCAAGATGCCTTTAAGGCGGCAAATATGGCCTCCAAGATGCCCCAGCAAAGGCCAGTCTGGCCACAAGGGAGACCAAGATAGCTGCTAGACGTCTCCAAGACGGCCCGAGGTGCACCCAAGACCGCCCAATATGGTCTCATTAGCATCTAAAGACGGCATAATCGGCTCCCGCGAGGCGTCCAAGACGGCCCAAGAGGTCTCCAAGTAGCCTCCGACATGAAACTTATGATGATGAGGGTGAGGACGACGTTGGGGATGAGTATGGTGATGATGGTGACGATGGTGATGATGCGTATGCTGATGCTGCTTCTGCGGGCAATAAGTGTGATGCTGCTGGCGATGGCGCTACACCATATGACAGCGAGAGCAGTGTTGGGCATGACGATTGGGGGAGGCGAGGGAGGAGGAGCAAGCAGGAACGCTGGGCGCTGCGCTTATCAAAACGATGACCCAACACCACCTGATTGTCAGGAAACATGGGGATTGCATAGTTTGGGAAGGCAGCAATGTGTGGCAGAGAGAGGTAATCAAAATAAGCAGAGGGTGGCGGGTCGGTCCTCGGTGAACTTCGTCTTGGTCCAGGCGCACTGGCCAGCGACGGCAGCCGCCAGCGGCTGCTGGCGGTTCCCCCCTCTCTTGGGGCTGTCGGCCTTGGGAGGCTTCCTGGGGCTGCCGCCGCCGCCCTTCCGACCAGCCCGACCGCCGCCGCGAGCGCCAGCAGCGCGCCCAGCGCCAGCCATCGTCGGCGACGAAAGATGGAGCTGCACTCGGAGCGGCCTCAGATCTCTGAGCTCTGAGGAAGAATACGCGAAATCACGATTTCTCTCGAGCCTAGGACGGCAAGCCATGATGGACACACGAGTTGCCCACAGCTCACAGTCGCAGGGGTGGCTCGAGAGGGCCGATTGGGGGGGCGCGGGCGGGCGTGCCAGAAGCGATTCCGCGAAGGCCCAGCGGGGGGGGGGGCTCCAGGGGGGCCAGAGAAGACTTCGTGCAAATCCGAGAGGGCCTCGGCGCCCCCCCCCACCCCCCACGCCCCCGATGAGACAGAGAAGGCCCGATGAAGGCCTCGGGGGAGGGCACAGAAAGCACCAGAGCGGCCCAAGCAGGCCCGAGGCAACGTAGGGAATGCACCAGGAAAGTCTTCGGGAAAGCCTAAAAAAAGCCTCGATGAAACCCGAGAAGTCCCAAGGATCTGCCCCAAGAAAGCGTCACTCGCCCCCATCGTCTAGCTCCCTCGGGCCTCCTCCACCCCCAACCTCATCCGAACCATCGCGCCCGCCACCCCCTCCTGCGCCCCTCCGTCCTCGCTCAGCCACTCCCTTCACCTCCCCCACGGGGGCTCCTGGGCCCCTGTGCTTGGTAGGCACCAGTCGGCGACGCGGCGCGTGTCTCCGGACCACCCAGGCCCGCCCAGGCGACACCCCGTGTGTCTCCCGAACCCACAGACGACCCTGGGGCGACACGGGATGTGTCGCTGGGGAGGATTTTTGGACACGGAAAAGCAAATGTATCGAGGATCCGGACCCCCCGTGTGTCGCACCAGGGGACGACCCCCCCCCGCGCGACACGCTGCGTGTCTCCTGTGGGGACCAGAAACGCCCCCCTCAGACGGGCCATGTCGGGGTCCTCCACCCGACCGCCCATTATGATTGCAGCCGCTCCTAAGACCCCAAACTCAGCACTCCAAGCATTGAATACTTCAAACAACAACGTTTAAGCTGATGCTTGCGGGCAGAGGTGGCAAATCGGCCCCGCCTCACATAAACCAGACACGACCTGTTCGTGGCGATCCAAAGAAGCGGTGACTCGATGATGATTCACTCTCCTCCAGTCTACGCAAGGTGGCTGGCGCACACGGGCTCCTCGGGCTCGCCAGCGCGACGAGGCCGCTCCATGCTGAGCAAACGCTCGCCGTTGTGAAACTCTCGCAAGGCCTCCCTGGCCTCGCACCGCGTCTGGCGGCTGATGCTCGCCACGAAAAATGCGCTCTGGTGCTCAGCTTTGGTGGCGCACCCGTCGGCTGCGAGCCACGCGGCCATGAGGCCGACGGGCCGACCTTTCAAGGAACGCTCTCTGTCCGTCAGCCCCTCGGGGGAGCTCGCCCAGGCTGAGGGGGCCACGCGGCGGGCGGGGCGGCTCGACCACCAGGGTTCACCATGGGGGCCCTTCTGAATCCTTTCGGCGTTATCTTGGGCCACGGAATGAGAGTTCTCTGTGCCCTACTGGGCCGAAACAAGGGGCCCGAAGTACATGCGCCAGGCGCGCCTCGAAACGGGCCCCAAAGGACGCGCGTTTCGAGCGAATGGGCCAGCCCACGAGCCAATACTTAGGCATGTTTGGCCCCATAACAGGCCACTGATTGGGCTCTCGAGAGACCCTCCTAAACCGAAAACGAATGACGATTCTAAGGCCATCGACGCAATTCGAAGCTGGCCCCAGCAGGTCATAAAGTTAGACACCGCACGCAATAAGATCTCACATCGCGGGTGCGCCCAGGCACGACGAAACAAAATTAGCCAGGTGATGGGTGCGACCATCTGCAGTTGTGAGCACCACGGATGAGGTGAGAACGAGGGGAGGGGCTGGAACAATGATTCAAGCGCGCGTGAGAAGGACGGAGCGTCGTTGCTGATTGGGCACCGAAGCCAGCCGCCAAATGTTACATGTGGATGTAGCACGTCATGGATGCTATGCATGTGCGTTTGTGACGACGATGGAGCGGCATTGCTGTTGGGGTCGGATGGGCCAACCGTATCGGGTATCATCTGGGCGCAACCCGTCACGGCCGATCTGCGCGCGCACATGAGAAAGACGCAACGGCGTTGCTCGTGAAGTCGCAGAGGTCAGCCGCAACGGGTTGCATCTGGATGCTGCCCAGCACGGTTGAAGTGTTCCTTTGTCGGCGCGGCCCAGGAGAACAGCATGCGATGGGGCCGCGAAGCGCGCGAGGGTGTGCCAATACTGGCGCTGCAAGGCATGTGACCCCTGCCATTGGGGCTTTCGGCTGAGCTTCATATGGGGCCGCGAAGCGCTAGAGGGGTTTGCCAGCGCGGGCGCGGCCACACGTGCGACTCTAGCCGCTGGGGCCTTCGGCGGAGCTCCCCGTGGGTCCACGGAGCGCATTGCGAGGTGCGTGTCGGCATGCAACCGACGAGGAGGATAATGGTGACGAGGAGGAGGATCCACGTGAAGATTCGGAAAGTGGCCTCCTTCTCCCCCCCCCTCCTACTCCACCCCCTCCTACATCTCAATCTCCTCCTCCTCGCCCTCTCCTCCGCCCTCAGCTTCGTACCCCTCCTCCTCCTCCTTATCCTCGAGAGAGCCCTGACAGGGCGCGAAGAAGCTCCAGGAGGTCCCTTAGGGGGTCCAAGGTGGCCCCAAGATGACGCCGAGAGGTATCCAGGCCGATGGGGGGCGCAACGTAGCCGCAGTAGGGACTTTGTAGTGTTCATGGTGAGCAGCCCTCAAAACGAACACTTCCCAATCGCTCGCGGTGCCCTTTTTGGCTCCGAGGGGGGCTCTCTTGAGCCCCCTTGGGGGGTGGCTCCAAGAGGGCTGAAGATGGCTGCAGCAGGGCCCCGATGGGGGGGGCAACGGGTCCCCCAAAAGGCCACATGGTCACAGAGGCGTCTTGGGGCCATATTGGTCCACCCTCGGCGCCCGCTTGAGGCCGCCTTGGGGCCCTCTCGGGGCCCTCTGGGGGGGGGGCTCTATGGGGGCCCAAGAGGCAAGAGGGGCCCAAAAGGTCCAAGACCGCAAGACCCAACTCCCGCGCGAAGGTCAAGACACGTGCGCGCGAAGCGTTAGGGATCGATGTAGTACCTCGTCATCCTGCAAGGACGGTCCAGCCCCCTGGTGAAATGGTCGCGGCTGCACGTCGCCTCAAAGCGGGCTTGCTGTGTCTCCGTCGGGGGGTAATACCTGATGGCGCCATTAGCCATTCTAACCCTGACGACGCCTGGTGGGTCGGGGGGGCCATCGTCAACTCCGTCGCCGCCGCCAGCCAGTGGGTCGCCCACCACGGGCGGGACGGGGGCACCCTCCTCGTCCCCGCTGGGGTCGTCCTCATGTATGTCTGAGTCGCCACCCACATCGACATCGGCGCCCTCCTAAACTGGGAAACTATTGGGGGCACGCTCCAACACAGCATGCAGGGCTAGCTTTCGACCGATCTAGGGTTGAACGACGTAGGCTTTGTCCTACGGGTGTACAGCGGGCCCACATCGGGCCCTTCAGGCACCCACGAGCAACGTCATGTGTCACGCGTGCGCGCCGTCCCATGTATGAGTACACAGGTTCCGCGTACGTGTACGAGTGATACGATGCATAGGTATGCGCGCGTGCTTATACTTACACACACATTCAGCACCCATGTACCACTTAAACGCATGTTCGTACAAGTCTCTAGGTATACGTATACACGCCTCGCACAGGTACCCTCATCGCTCACAGTGTCACCGTGGGCAGCCGCGACCCTATTGGGCCCCCAGCCCACATAGGGCAATGCGTTTGACGCTTTAACGATGCACACTTTGTTTCCACCAGAAAGGCCCACCCCTCATGGAACGGAGCCCCCAATCATCAGTCGCTGATCAGGACCCCCCCCCCAGTTGGACCCCAAGATGCACCAACAAACTCTAAAACAC